ATTGTGCCACTGTGTATGTATGTTTGTTGAACTTTTTTGTACCACCGCACGTAGCCAACCGGTGCGGGGGGAGGACAATACACTAAACAGAAAAAGCAATACGAAATGAATGAGTTTTTAATTTAGACGACCTAAAAGTGCGTAGCTCCAGTGGCTTCCTAATATCGGAAGGAAGAGCGTTCCAGACGGCCACAGAAGCGCGTCTGCAAGCGCACGACGCGGTGAGCACCGCCTTTGTACGACGGACGACGGTCAACCACAAGCCGCTGCGACAGCGAGGTTGGCCGGCGTTCTCGGGATAGGGGCCGTCCATAAATGACGTCACGCACCTAGGGGGGGGGGGTCAGACATTTGTGACGATGTGTGACGAGGGGGGAGAGGGGTTTGAGAAATGTGATGTCACATCAAAATGCGCAATTTTAAATAAATATAGACAACACGTTCTACTTAATTAAATAGACTTTTTAATACATGTTTTCTCCTACAAAATCAGAGTGCAGCGCCACATTAAATACGCACTACAATGACAATAGTTGAAAGCGATTTGAAGCATGTTTAAAAAAAAAATTGGGGGGGGGGGCGGGCAGAGCTTTGTGACGTCATATTTGAGGGGGGGGGGTCAAAAATCGTCCAAAATCGCGTGACGTCATTTATGGACGGCCCCATGGTGGTTCACGCTCCTCGGTGAGATCGGCGAGCCACTGCGGTTCGCTTGGGTGAGGCGAGTGCTTTGTGCGCAGTTAGCGCGACCTCAAACCGGCGGTAGCGGTGGCGGCGGCAAGGGCCTCCGCGGCCTTGAGGGGAGTCCTGTGGGACGAGGCCACCCTGCATCAGCGAGAAGCAGGCGTCGGGGCCGGCGGGCAGAGGCGGAGCGAGTGCTCCTCGCTGGGTACGAGGGACCTGCTCAACTAACGGGGCTGCGGAGACCGAGGCGTCGCTTAATTGTTAATATTATTATGTTTAATGCTGTGAGGCACAAGGTGGATTACGCGGGAGATTTATCAGACAGCAGCGGGGGGGAGGGAATGTAGAGGGGAAGGGCACCATTTCACTCGGGGGGGGGGGGGGGGGGGAAGGGTTCTGATGTCGAGTGGCCAGGCGTTGTTAAACGGAGCGACTGTGGGTCATCTGAGACACCAATGATGCCCCCAGCGGTTCCACCACCGTTGCACTCTTACGGGAGCGGCGCATTGCAAAGCAGAGGTGGGGAACCCTCTCCGTACGAATTCAAATCTCGGGCCATGCCAAACGGAGTTGTGGGTGGTATCTGGCTCGCAGGCCGTAGGTTCCCCGCTGCGTAAAGAGGCAGCTGCAGCAGGAGGCGGCGGTAGGGGTGGCCACCTCCGAGGTACGAACATACGTACGTTGAACTATTTTTTCACAGCATCAGAAGCCTTCCCGCGCCTACTCATCGGAGGTGCGGGAAGGACGACAAGCTAACACTACCGGGAGGACTTTCAAGTAAATGCATCGGCTTGAGCGGTGCATTTATCCCGCAAAGCCATACCGAACCGGGTCGTTCATACGTTCATGTCCCAGCATGACTTGGACGGCGACATCGACGAGAGGACAATCGTGGGAAAGCCACGACAGTGGCAGCCCTCGGCGACAGTGACGAGGCCATAGTCTCCATCTCATCTTCCCTCCTGGCTTCCTCCGATTGCCCCACGCCGCCCCCCCCCTCCTCCCGCCCCCAGTAATTTTTTCCAGCGATCCGGCACGGGGCGGCACTTGCGGCGGCCTTGCCGTGATGGAGGGAAACAGCTGCGTGACCCGCGGACAGGGCCCTAGGAATACTCTGCTGACGTGTCCCCCCCCCCAAACCCCCCCCCCCCCCGCCCGTCCGTCCCACGGCCCTCCCCCTTCCTTCAACCGCATCACCGGGCCTCGCACTCTCAGCTTCACCGGAGACTCGACCCGCTTCGAGCCGTCACCGGCCGTTTCTTAATCCTCCGCGCTCGAGGCGTGGAGCGGGATCCCCCAGGGCCCTGCGCTCCCTTCTCTTTCCGATTGCATTCATCCGCAAACGTTTCCACCCCCCCCCCCCCAACCCGCTAGAGTAGAGATATGACCTACTACAAGGTAAGGAGGGATGGCGAAGCGCGGTGATTAATGCTGGTGTCGCCGACGCGTTGCCGCAGTGGGGCTTTTTGTAGAGGGGGTTGTGAGGGGGGGGGTGACCACGTGCAGATTTTGAATGTGGAGCGTCGAAAGAAAAAGCCCTCCGCGTTCATCGCTTCCTCTCTCGCCTCTCCCCGCCGCCGTTGGGAGCGTGGCCCATCGTTTTACCTGTTCGCTCACGAGGCCTCGGGAATTGCGATGGGCGAATGTGTCGCGCGGCAAACGTACGATGTGCTTTTTATGAATAAGACCGTGTGGAAATCCGGGTTCTGCTCCGTATTTTAAGTGCAATAATAATAATGCATTGGCGTGCGTGCTCCTCCGATTACGCACGTAACGTACTGCCGCGGCGTAACGGGTCCACGCACACCGGACCTGCGATCCAGAGGTCTGCGGTTCCCGTCGATCTCTTGGCGCGGCAGATTGACACGGTGGGCTACTCCCTAAAATCCTACCTCCCCCACCCCCGACCCACCACCTGTGTCCACCCAGCAGTATAGATCGGTACAACCGTGGTCAGTCGATCGGCAGGGAGAGTGCGGTGGGGCAAAGTGTGGGCACTGCCCATCTCTTCCAAGACGCCTGGCCAGTAGTGGAAGAGGAGGCTCAGTAGCCTGCCTGGAGCGGTGGCGTTTCTGCCGGCAGTGGCGAGCGAGCGAGCGATTGCAGCCCCGCGCCTTCACCGGATATCGAGCGTGTTTATTGTTTTGTGTTGTTGGGGGGGGGGAAGGTGTTAAAACGTCGATCGCAAAGTTACTTCTCTCGCGTCTTCCTTTCCAGTTGCCGCCGACTCACTTCGCCATTAATAACAAAACGCGTTCTTTGCTATAGACCCTCTCATTGGTTTTTCTGACGCAAAAATCCATTACGAAATTACCCATTAGGCTCACGAGCGATGATGGCGGCAGAATTGTGTGCGGCGCCCGCTCGCCGTCCGCAAGGTTGCTCTCGTCGCAGCGGTGCGTCGTTCAGGTTCCGGGCGCCGCCGTGGCGAGATGTTAACGGCAGGAGGTCGTGGGTTCGATCCCGACCCTGACGCCTGCTGTGTATTTGGAGTTTGCGTGTCTCTCTCTCTCATCATCATCATGGTGGCTAAGAGATGTTAACTACCTCGCCTCGTCTACAGGAGGTCGTGGGTTCGATCCCGACCCTGACGCCTGCTGCTGTATATTTGGAGTTTGCGGTGTCTCTCGCCCCGTGGTCGCGTGGATTTTTTCTCCGAGTCCTCCGGTTTTTCCCTCCACATTTAGAAACGTGCGTTCAGAGTGTTTGGCTACTGATATAAATATTTCCACATTATGATAAGCCACTTTGTTGTTGAGCTATCATTTGTGGCCAGGTAGCTTCTGAACAAGAGCTTAGTGGCTGTAGTAAAAAAAAAATACCCGCAGCAAAGCATTTTTTGTACTTTGCTGTGCTGCCATTATGAAGAGAGATTACTAAACCATTTGATGGTAATATGTATTTAATGAGAACTCATATAGGTCAGTGGACCTTACTTTATTTGTGCGTCGTGTGTATTTCTCCGTAAAAAAAAAAAAATGTTAAACATTATTTGGCGATGCTGCCGCTGCTGCTGCCGCTGCGGCGTTTGTGGCGGTGCACAAGCACAAACAGCAAAGCACGTGACCTCGGCACGTGTGTCGGTCACACTGTGCGTGGCCTTTCAAGTAAAATAATAGAAAAAATATATTTGTGTAAAATAGGCGACGTTTGCATTTGTGTGTTCTGAAGCAGGGCCATTGCCCGAAACGTCGGCGATTGCGTCGAGAAAAGAAAAAACAAGAAAATTGGTTGCTGTTGAAATACAATTATTCGGAGAGAAATGCAGACGCAACAGCGTATTGTGTAACACATCCTGACGTGCACGTGTCCTCCGGGTGTGTGAATTGTCAGGGAAGCAGTCAGGGCAAAACACGTGAATATTTTCACATTTCCATTTTGCCCTGGTTTGTGTCTCTAAGGCTTGGGCCACAACCAAACCTTTGATAAATGTGCCTCTTTTTTTTCCTCGTGGGAGAATCCCAGATGGCAAAGCAACTTTATTTGATAAAAACAACAGAGTAACTTTATATTCATAATTCAGAATGTAATATTGTAGGAATCTCGATTAAATGACAGTACCGGTGTAAACTTGCATAATGCACACGGACTGACATATGCCCGTGTAGCCTCATGGAGCTCCAATGAAGGGCGGAAACTATGAGCACCAGGCATTTAAATCTTTATCAGGCTGAGTCAACCTAGGGGAAGCCCAGAACCAGTTTATATATCACTTGCAGGCTTTGGTGCGCTAAGCACTGCTCCCATCACTCCCCGCACTCTGTACACACACACACACCCGTGTCAATTAAGTGCAAGGTTTTAACGATTTTTGGCCACGGTGATTCTTTTCATAAAATTCAACAGCAGAGGTTCGGGTAAAAAAAAAAACCCCAATCATTAACGGTGAGCTCACGGAATAAAGTGGTGGGTGTCCCATCGCCCCCCCCCCCCTCTCGCCTCCCCCAATGTATCGTATTTTTGCAATGACACAGAGCAAAGCACCGCACAGAACACATTAAGCATCTGCAGCCATCTCCCAAGATTTCGCTGAATGTATGCAAATTTGACGATTCGCGTGACCTGCCCCCCCCCCCACCCGGGGCGCACGTTCACGATTCCCGGCACTCGGGGGGGGGGCGAGGGAGGGGGGAGCGCGGGGGGAGGGCTCGTGTGACAGCAGCAGCCCCACGTGGCGGCTTGTCCCCAGATGCCCCTATGCTTGGCCGTGGACGTTGAATCCCGTTGTCAATAACCCGCCGAGGAGTTTAACCGCCGCCCCCCCCTCATTGCTCCTCCACGCCCCCCCCCACCCCCCCGGCCTTGCCTCTTGACAGGCGCAGAGGAACGAGCGCGAGTGCATCCGCCAGAAGCTCGCCCTGGGAGGCTTTTTCGACGATGGGCCCGGCATCTACACGAACTGCAGCAAGAGCGGCAAGCCCAGCCTCTCGTCCAGGTGATGGGACATCCACCTGTGTGTTGTGCGGTGTGGGGTGTGGTGTGTTGTGGTGTGTGGGGTGTGTGTGTGTGTGTGGTGTTTGGTGTGTGTGTGTGCGGTGTGTGTGTTGTGTGGTGTGTGTGTGTGGTGTGTGTGTGTGGTGTTTGTGGGGTGTGTGTGTGGTGTTTGGTGTGTGTGTGTGGGGTGTGTGGTGTAGTGTGTGTGTGTGGTGCGTGTGTGGTGTGTGTGGTGTGTGTGGTGTGTGTGCGTGTAGTGTGTGGTGTGTGTGTTGTGCGGTGTGTGTGTGTGTGGTGTGTGTGTGTGGTGTGTGTGTGGTGTGTGTGTGTGGTGTGTGTGTGTGGTGTAGTGTGTGTGGTGTGTGTGTGGTGCGGTGTGTGTGTGTGGTGTGTGTGTGGTGTGTGTGTGTGGTGTGGTGTGTGTGTGTGGGCAAAGTCCCATCAGTGAGCTCCTCCGGCAGGCAAGGCTGCGTTGGCTGGGTCATGTAGCCCGCATGCCCAGCCACCGCATGCCTAAACAGCTTTTGTTCGGCCGGATCGAGGGGGCTAGACGGGCGCGGCACGGGCTGGAGAAGAGATGGAGTGATGTGGTACAGGAGGACGTGGAGCTGAGTGGACTTGCCGATGACTGGTACCAGCGGTGTCAAGATCGGCCTCAGTGGAGGAGGCTCGTGAAGGACGCTACTGGGCAGTTGGAGGCAGTCGCCCTCCAACAACAACGGAGGGCGGAGGAGCGACGCTCACAACAACGAGCGGAGCGCCGGGTGGCTAAAGCACAGCAAGTTGGCACAGTAGGGGACACAGGTGGTGCATCAGCCAGTCATCTCGGTCATCTCGGTCAGTCGACCCGTGGCACCTGGGTCTGCCCCGTGACCTCCTGCCAGCGGGCTTTCGACACTTCACGTGGCCTCAAGGTGCACTTGGCCTGGCACAAGCATCGTGGTGACGTCACCGCCACTTAGTGGCGAATGGCGGTTGTTGTTGTTGTGTGTGGTGTGTGTGGTGTAGTGTGTGTGTGTGGTGTGTGTGTGGTGTGTGGTGTGGTGTGTGTGTGTGGTGTAGTGTGTGTGGTGTGTGTGTGGTGTGTGTGTGTGGTGCGGTGTGTGTGTGCGGTGTGTGTGGTGTAGTGTGTGTGTGTGGTGTGTGTGTGGTGTGTGTGTGGTGTGGTGTGTGTGTGTGGTGTTTGGTGTGTGTAGTGTGTGGTGTGTGCGTGGTGTGTGTGTGTGGTGTTTGTGGGGTGTATGTGTGTGTGGTGTGTGTGTGGTGTGTGTGTGGTGTGTGTGGGGTGTGTGTGTGTGGTGTGTGTATGGTGTGTGTGGTGTGTGTAGTGTTTGTGGGGTGTGTGTGTGTGGTGTGTGTATGGTGTGTGTGTGTGGTGTTTGTGGGGTGTGTGTGCGTGGTGTGTGTGTGTGGTGTGTGTGTGGTGTGTGTGTGTGTAGTGTTGTGCGGTGTGTGTGTGTGGTGTGTGTGGTGTGTGTGTGTGGTGTGTGTGTTTGGTGTGTGTGTGTGGTGTGTGTGTTTGGTGTGTGTGTGGTGTGTGTGTGTGCGGTGTGTGTGGTGTGTAGTGTGGTGTGTGTGTGTGGTGCGGTGTGTGTGTGTGGTGTGTGTGGTGTAGTGTGTGTGTGGTGTGTGTGTGGTGTGTGTGTGTGGTGTGGTGTGTGTGTGTGGTGTAGTGTGTGTGGTGTGTGTGTGGTGTGTGTGTGTGGTGCGGTGTGTGTGTGGTGTGTGTGGTGTAGTGTGTGTGTGTGGTGTGTGTGTGGTGTGTGTGTGTGGTGTGGTGTGTGTGTGTGGTGTTTGGTGTGTGTAGTGTGTGGTGTGTGCGTGGTGTGTGTGTGTGGTGTTTGTGGGGTGTATGTGTGTGTGGTGTGTGTGTGGTGTGTGGTGTGTGTGTGGTGTGTGTGGGGTGTGTGTGTGTGGTGTGTGTATGGTGTGTGTGGTGTGTGTGGTGTTTGTGGGGTGTGTGTGTGTAGTGTGTGTGTGTGGTGTGTGTGTGGTGTGTGTGTGTGTGTGTGTAGTGTTGTGCGGTGTGTGTGTGTGGTGTGTGTGGTGTGTGTGTGTGGTGTGTGTGTTTGGTGTGTGTGTGTGGTGTGTGTGTTTGGTGTGTGTGTGTGGTGTGTGTGTGGTGTGTGTGTGGTGTGTGGGTGTGTGTGCGGTGTGTGTGGTGTGTGTGTGGTGTGTGTAGTGTGTGGTGTGTGTGTGTTGTGTGTGTGGTGTGTGTGGTGTGTGTAGTGTGGTGTGTGTATGGTGTGTGTTGTGTGGTGTGTGTGTGGTGTGCGTGTGTGGTGTGGTGTATTTGGTGTGTGTGTGCGGTGTGTGTGTGTGGTGTGTGTGGTGTGGTGTGTGTGGTGTAGTGTGTGTGTGTGGTGTGTGTGTGTGGTGTGTGTGGTGTAGTGTGTGTGTGTGGTGTGTGTGTGGTGTGTGTGTGTGTGGTGTGTGTGTGTGGTGTTGTGGGTGTGTGTGTGGTGTGTGTAGTGTGGTGTGTGTGGTGTGTGTGTGGTGTGTGGTGTTTGCGGTGTGTGTGGTGTGGTGTGTGTGTGGTGTGTGTGGTACGTGTGTGTGTGGCGTGTGTGTGGTGCGTGTGGTGTGTGTGGTGTGTGTGTGGTATGTGTATGGTGTGCGGTGTGTGCGGTGTGTGGTGTGTGTGGTGTGTGTGCGTGGTGTGTGTGCGGTGTGTGGTGTGTGCGGTGTGTGTGTGTGGTGTGTGTGTGTGTGCGGTGTGTGTGAGTGGTGTGTGTGTGTGGTGTATGCGGTGTGTGGTGAGTGTGGCGTGTGGTGTGTGTGTGTGCGGTGTGTGTGTGGTGTGTGTGTGGTGTGTGTGGTGTGTGTGTGTGGCGTGTGTGTGTGGTGTGTGTGCGGTGTGTGTAGTAGACCGGCCTAAATGTTTCTCAACGGTGAAGATGTTCCATTAGGGGGGGGGAGGTCAACGTTTCGCAAGTAAAGAGTAGGGAGGGCAGATTGTGGCCGAGAAGACCCGAAGCTACGTGTGGTGCGACAGACAAGGTAGCTTTATTGATACCGATTCCAATTGCCTGATTTCAAGTGGCAAGGCGTTTCACAGTTTGGGTGCCACGCTAACAAAAGCCCGATCACCAAAAGTGCTGAGCAGTTGTAGATCAGAAGATCTTAAGGACCTTGATGATGGAATATATAAATGTATCAGTTCCTGCAGGTAATCTGCGGTAAGCCCTTTTAAAGCTTTATAGGCCAATAGCATCAGTTTATCTTCCGATTTCCGTCCCGATGAATCGGAAGATAAACTAAAATAAAATACATTTACCGGTACGTCTTCCGGTCGGAGGCAGCGAGTAAGGAGGCCGCCACGAGACGGAGACATTCGTTGGCCAAGTTGGGGATTCTGCCTTCGTGCTCCCACAAGGCCACGCGGGATGGCGTGTGGCACGGTTTGACGCCACCAATCGTAGAGTGCGGTTCTCCGCGGGCGAGCACAATGCCTTTTAAAGCAACGGCGCGACCACGCCTCTCTTAAATAAAATAAAACGGCTCAACCGTGTGGGGGGGGGGGGGGGGGTTAATTCCACGCAGCAGGACCCCGTGCAGACCACGCTGCGGCGCCGGTCGGCGCGAGCGCGGCGGTGGCACCACGGCGGAGCGAGTGGCTGCGCATCTCCGTCACGCGTGGCAGATCGAGGGCCTCGCGGAGGGATGCCTATAAAGAGAAGTGCATTGGCAGACGCGCAGGAGACCGGCAGACAGAGGGAGGGAGGGAGGCGTAGACTTTGGCACGGCTGACGCACGCAGCATGCCGCACATGGACAGAGAGAGAGAGGATACAGCTGCAGTTGCGCACAGACTGACATTGATGCGTAGTGTTAATAATACTTTCATTTTAAACAGCGTCATTCATGCCAACAGTATCCCAGAACGCTGCACATCAATTGTACGCAAGGGGCAAATCCCATCTACGCGGCTGGCTACGCACGGCGCGAAAGAAGCCCAGCACACAGACAGACACACACACACCAAGCAAAATGAATAAACAAATTAAGAAGTCGCACCCAAAACGCGAACCTCTGACTGACGTTGGCTCTCACTGAACCTCCTCGCCACGGTGCGGCCCCCAAGAGAACACGCTGCCCTGTGGTGTCGCTGTCGCGAGTGCAGGCGGTGCAACTGCACGGGGGCCCCACGGGTCGGGAGGGAGCCGCATGCCGGCCAACGCAACCGATGCCCCCCCCCCCCCCCCCATTGAATACCTTGCACCAGATGGACAGACGAATGAACAGACAATAACAACAACAACAACCTCCATTCGCCACTAAGTGGCGGTGACGTCACCACGACGCCTGTGCCAGGCTAGGTGCACGTTGAGGCCACGTGAAGTGTCGAACGCCCGCTGGCAGGAGGTCACGGGGCAGACCCAGCAGGTGCCACGGGTCGACTGATTGAGATGACCGAGACGACTGGCTGATGCACCACCTGTGCCCCCTACTGTGCCAACCACAGTCACTAAACGGGGGGCTCTGGACGGGTGCGAGGGGCCGGTAACCCCTCCACCCTCAATTTATTACCACGAAACTACGAATTAAACATAAATATGAACAGACAATAAACATTGACACACAAACATAGGAACAAACTAACGGACAGGCAGAGGAACAAACTAACAAACGAACAGACAGACATGCTGACGACGGTCCGGTGCGCTGCTGTGCCGCAGGCTGCAGAGCGGCATGAACCTGCAGATCTGCTTCGTCAACGACAGCGGCAGTGACAAGGACAGCGACGCCGATGACAGCAGCAAGACCGACGCGAGCCCCGACACCCCCCTCTCCCCGGTGGTACGTCCCCGTTGCGCGCACACGTGGGACAGACTATTGTCGCTTTCGGGGTGGGGTCACTCGGGTTTGGCACGGTTCCTCCGTTTCGCTAAACACGCGCACGCGCGCACACACGCGCGGACGGCGTTGTCTCGTGAGGTTTAGGTTACGCGCAACCTAGCGGCCGTAAAGGCGTCGTATTTCTTCTTCCGCGTAAGATTATTCCAAAATTATCAGTTCAACGGCAGTAGCGGTGAAAAGCGAGTTAAGCTGAATAATTATTCTACACGCAGGCTTTAACGACCATTATTATGATTCATCATTCGTTTATTTTGGGGTACGATGCACATTTCTACTCGACATAACGCGAAAGGAAGCGATTATGAATCTAAATGATAATAATGAGACTAAATGAATGTGGCTGCGTAGGTTTTCGCGGTTGTGCTGTAGAGATGCTTGCGGCTTGCGCCCTGCGTTGTCAGGAATGATGTCCGGCGTGTCGCTCCACGCTCTGGAAGCTTCTTCGGGAACTTGACCACCACAACGAGACGTCGGTAACGAGACGGATACCTCTCGGCGGCCGATCAAACCGCTCGCACGCGAATGTTGTCCTTCCCCCGTGCCTCCGATCGGCACGGTTGGCTACGTGTGGCGTGGAAAAAGTTAAACGTGCATTGAGGAAAAAAATTGCCCGGCGGAATATTATGCAAATGTTCGAGTGGCAGCGTTGCTGTTCTCGTCAAGGTGCACGAACCATCATCACGAGGACGCTGGTCATCCTTCGCAGGCAGCGGCTTCTGGCTGGCCGTCGAACAAAGACGGTCACCGCATCGCGCACTTTCAGACGCGCTTCTGCGGCCGTCTGGAACGCTCTTCTGATATTAAGAAGCCATTGCAGCTATGCACTTTAAAATCGAGAACGAAAACTCATTTCTTTAGAACTGCATTTAGTGTTTGGTTTGTTGTCCTTCCTCCGCACCTCCGATCAGCACGGTTGGCTACGTGCGGTGGTGCGAAAAAAGTTCAACAAACATACATACACAGTGGCACACTGAAGCAAACATTGGTTATATATCTATACACACGTATATATACACACGTAGAAATATTGGCCGAGTTCACGGATTGACTGACGTGATGATATTGGTGGAAGGTGGTGCGGATTGAGCCACCCCAAACGCCGACAATAACTTCAGAGTGGGGTCCCATGTCTGCCGGCTTTAGTCGACTAAGGCCCGAAGAGCGACGTCTGGGCAAAAATCCACCAGCGGTGAGGGATCAGACCAAAGACCCCCCAGCGGGTCGGTCTCGTCTGACCAGGCCCGAGGATGGAGACTCAGAATAAACCCATCGCCCGGTCGAGATTACCGTCGCCCACCGCCACGGCTCGCCAAGCCTCCGCAGCCTTCGTCCGAACCGCGGGCGGCAAGGACGGAGCCCGGTTCGCTCTCACGACGACGCCTCCTGGAACGTGGAATATCAAACGGCGACCGGCATTGTCACCGAACTACGAGAGTGCAACGTCACAGACGGCGGTTGCGGTGGCACGCTCCGTCGTGCTCGCCCGCCCGGAGCGATGCGGCTCGGGACGACGCGCGCGGCGTGGGGGGAGGGGGTGGGGGGGGTATGGGAGGGGGGTGGCGAGCCGAGGGTAGAAGGCATCGTCAATAACGGCCGCATAATCGGACCGTATGTCACGGGACCCTGCGTTTAATCAGTGCCATTATTCGAATGCTTTGTTTTATTACCGTGTGTTAAACGCCACCGGGACGTGAGTGTGTGCGTGCGCGTCTGTGTCTGCCTCGCAATATTGTTGTTGCCGTGCATACATTATCCTGGTATTATTTGTCGCCAATCGTGGCTGGAATTCCCTTTGCGAAAAACAAAAATTAACTCGCCAAGCCCTCGTCTAGATTTGAATGCAGGCGGCGAAGTAGGTGTGAAAATGCGTTCGTTAAAATAATTACTTTACAGCCATTTACGGTCAATCCACAGCTGGATGAAGACTGCCCCACACCATATCAGTCATGGGTGTTGCTTGACCATACTTCACCATACTGGGTCAAGTGAATTGGTGATGGGCGGAGAGGTAAGGAGCCCAGCGGGGAATCGGACGTTACTCATCGCCGATGTTAGCCGTGTGGCTGAGAGTCAAACCGAGGTCACCAGGTTCGTTATCGCAGTGCGCTAACCACTGCGCCACCGCTCCACCGCCGGCCGACGGCGACAGGATGCAACGACGGCTCGCGGCCCGCCCAGCGGTCGCCGGCTCGGGTCTCTCCGTGCGGCGGTTGCAATCGAGTTTCATTTCACCGGGTGAGAATTTCAAAGAGACGGGGAGAATCTCATTTGCGAGGCTGAGCCGGGTGTCAACGGAGCAACTTTCTTCAATTTCCCCCCACACCCCCCCACAACCTCCCGTCCACCCAGCAGCAATGTCGATGACGGTTGCCACCGCCCACGCCCACGGAGCGACCGCACGGCAGGCAGGGAGAAAGAAGGGAGAGGTTTGCGGGGGTCGAATTGCGGGAAAAATAAAATCCAAACGGGCACGACGGCGGCGGCGGTGTCTGTTTGTGGCGCGATGTCGCGTCCCCGTCGCTCATTAATCTGCCGCTCGTTTGAAGCGTTCCGCGTCGTGACTCGGCGGCGTGGGGGGCCGATTGAAGTGGCGGGCCGCTCGCTCGCTCGCTCTGATGGACGCGGGCGGCTGTGGTGGGGGGCGAGGGAAAAGTGACGCGCTAATGGGATTCACGCCGTCGCCTCCCTTGCGGTGCGTGTACGCGTGCGCCGCATCGCAAGCGACATCTTAAAATGAATCCCACCATGAGCCACGGAGATTATGGGGGGGGCGGGGGGGCGCTTGCTTTTATTATTATCAACAAAGCGGTGTGATGGTCAGCGCACCGCGCTTACAGTCCACAGGTAGCCAGTTCGATCTTCCCCTAGCGGCGCTTGAATATCATCGTTGCATCTGTCCACCTAGCAACGTAAATGAGTTAGTCGGGGTGTGGCAGGTCGCGTGCGGCTGAGAGAGGCGGTGGGTGCCCTCACCTCTTAGAAGAGGTCCGGCCAGGGTCGGAGGCTCGGCCAAAAGACTCGCTAGACGGGGGGCCCACTACAGCGCTCCGTTCCGGCTCGCAATCCGGAGGTCGCCAGCTCGATTGGATCTCCCGGCGCGGCGCTTGAGGCTACGGTTGCAGGTTGCTTAAATCCACACTACTCCCCCCCGATCCCCACCTGCCTTTGTCCACCGAGCATCATGAACGGGTTCACCACAGTCGATTGGCTGGTGGCCTGTGGTGGGGTAAAGTGTGGGTACACTCGCCTCTTTCAGGACGTTTGGCCGGCGCGGAAGAGCGCTCTCTAATACAGGCCCTCTCAAGCCAGCAGAGGAGTGAGCAGGCAATTGCAGGGCGGCGCCTTTACCTTTCTTTACTTACCCGTTACTACTTGCTGTGCGTGTTCGCATCACAACTGACGTCTCAAAGAAATCCCACGCTGAGCCCGAGAGATTATCGGTGGTGTCTCAAGTTACAAATGTTCTTGTGAATATTCTAAATATTTTTCTTATTATTATTTCGTTGCACCCTTGACTATGCTCTCTGAACGTCGTCGCCACAGCCGGTAGGTTCCTGGCCCCTTGCTGACGGACGCCCGTTGGCTTCATCACCATTAAACGCGTGAAAAGGATTTCACAAAAACCTGGCACGGACTGTGTGGCGTTGGAGTAGTTTTTCAAATTTTGTCACCGGCTAGACCTTGGAGTCTGCGCACTCGATGTTGTTCAAAGCAAGCGGCCGACGGGCATTTCATGCCGCTTTGGGCCCTCTGCAGCCGTCGTTCCGAGTTAGAATGCGGTCCGTGTCGTTTTGTCGTGGCCGCTAACTGGTTGGTCTCGGTGGGGGAGGGGGGTGGGTGGCGAGGGGGGGGCTGGGAGGAGGGGAGGGCGATCTCACGTAGGGTTTTTAATCTTGCAGGGCGGTAGTCGTGAGTCGAGCTGACACGATCGGCGCGCAAAAAAAATGGTTCGTCGTTTACCACGTTCGTCATCGCAACGCGGCGGTCGCTAATCACGGCGGAGCGCGACGGAAGGATACGGGGCTGGGCAGGCCGTCGTGCACGAGCCGGTCGCAGCCGACAGTTGAAACCGTGAGTGAGTGAGTGAAATTATTTCAGTGAAAATTTGACTGAGGGCTCTTGGTCAACCGATGAACACGACTTTAAAAAGTTGCGCGGATGTAGAGCTGCCACAAACAGCACGGCACAGACGATGACGAAACGAACGCCGCCGCCGCGACCGCTGCGTTGGTAGCGGTGCACAAGCACGGCCAACGCAAACACCAAACACGGTCGTCAGTTGGCACTGCCGTGAAGAGGGAAACAAAACTCAAGAGGCAACGCCGCGGGCGACGGAGTAGCAGAGAGATACAGGCCACAGGGATTGCGTAAATAACCGTTGGAGACTGCACTATACATCACGGGCCCCTGACGTCGTGACATTTTAACAATCAATTAAAACATTTTAGATGTTTTAACAATCACTGCTTGGTGAGGTTTTCTCGACCTAACTTGCACGGGCTATTCTCCAGGCATTGCCTCCGACGAGTCCATCTTCTGGGAGGATTAACCCTTTCCGATGATGTACACGTACGTACGTCATTGGAACGGAAAAAATAAAATAACTTTATCGGTACGTCTTCTGACCTGAAGATGTGCCGAGGCTCCCACAAGGCCGTGCGGGAGGGCGTGTGGCGCAGTTAGGCGCCAGCTATCATAGTGCGGTCGTGTCGCTACAGTTCTTTGCGGTGAGTACAATGTCTTTAAAAACAACGGCGCTGCTTCGCCTCTCTAAATAAAATTAACGCTGAACCGCTCACGCGTTTCGAGATTCAGCGGTGAACTGGAACCCCCACACCCTGCAACTTGCAGACGTCTCGGAACGGTGAAGGATTAAACACTGGAAAGCAAAAGCCTGGTGACCGAGGATCTTGACACCGAATGACGATTTTTGTTGTTGTTGCCAACTTCATGGCAGCGCCGTCTCGCGAGCCAACGTCAGACGGTTCCCGTGGCAAAGAGCTTCGTGGCTGATCGGATTCCTCCATACTCTTAGGTTTTGTCGGTAAAGTCACGTAGGTAAAAAATTAAAATAAAGAATAAAAATTTAAATAATAATAATTATAGAAATAATTAATATTATTAAATATTATTAGAAAGATAGAAATATTTTTTTTTTACCTACGTGACTTTACCGAAAAAACCTAAGAGTATGAATCCTTGCAGTCACGAAAGCTTCAAATCTAGAACGGATTCCTCCAGTCTAAATATCCTGATTCTGAACGTCGCGATTCGGAACTCTCACAGCACAGCTCACCGCACGTGTTGGAGAAGGGACATCACAGAACTACCTCCGACATCTCGTCAAGTGGATCCTTTACTCTTCGGTTCTTTCGGTAAAGTCATGTAGGTAGAAATAAAACTAAATAAATCACGTTCTTTCGGGCGCAACACAAGCGCCCGTCTTCAGGTGAAAATCGCGATGGCCGCGATGTCTGCTGCTCGCAGGAGACATCGCCGACATGACTATACCGAAAGAAGTGTGGATTCCTGCAGTCACGAAAGCTTCAAATCAAGTGGATTCTGTTTTTCTGAACCCGAGAGGTGCACTTTTTAACATGCCCTACTCCTCTGAGAAATGGTCATTGCATGTACAGTATGTATGTGTGTGCAGTATGTTGAACTTCTTTCACACTGCACGTAGCAAACCGTGCTAACCGGAGTGGCAATGAGAAGAATATCCTTTAATTTCAGAGCTGGAATTTAGCCAAACCAAGTGCCACGCTGACCTTAAAGTGTTTTTTTTGCAGCATCATCATCATCACGTGTTATCCTACCGCCACATTACCACCACGCTCACCACGACCAAAGACAAAGATCCCCCATATAGCTTTAACATACTGTAGGCGAAAGTGCTGTTAGTGAGCACCTATGAAAGCCAGAACGGTACACGAGGGGGTGGGTGGCCAGCACCACGCCCAACCGCATTTGTCTCCCTAGTGGCGACGTTTACACACCGCATCAGGTACTCATTTGAGGCCGAGTCGACCTAGGGGAGGCCCAGGACCGGTTCAGATAATCGCCACCGGTGATGGCCGTGAGCGGGAATTTAACCCGGGTTCATTGCGCAGTGTAGCGCTAACCGCTACACCATCGCTCCCCCCCCCCCCCCCCCCCCCGCTTCTGGTGTTTCCCGCGCAGAGCAAGCAGAGCTCGTCGTATTCAGAGCGCGACTCTGCCGACTCGGAGGCTGGCACGGACTCGGAGTCCGAGTCCCTCGATGGGCTCGACTTCTCGGCGTGCCAGCGCAAGCTGCAGGCCGAGGCCAAGCTGGCGCTCGCCATGGCACGGCCGATGGCGCGCATGCAGGTGGAGGTGGAGAAGCAGAACCGCAAGAAGTCGCCCGTCGCCGACCTGGTGAGTGAGCGAGCGAGCGAGCGAGCGCCAGCGCGGCACCACCGCAACCCTCGGTGGAGGGGGTAACGGCTGTCCCCCCTGGGGCTGGCCACAACACTGGCTTGGCCAGGGGGGAGACATCGTACCTAGCCCAGGGTTCGACAAACCAAAGTAACAGAAGAGCCTGGTTTGTTTTTTTCGAATTCGGTAACAGACAACAACAAAAACAACTCGATATTTAAAGAGCCGCAATGCACGCGAATGAGTCACGTGCGGCTCCACTGCCTCAGCTTGCCGACCCCTGACCTCGCTCATCCTCAACACGTGCTGAGCTATGGAACAGCGCTGCCTGTGACCCCCCCCACCCCCCACCAGAATGCCAGATTAGGCGCAAGGACAACACTTGACCTGGCCCAACCCAAAGATAGAGTAGCCAAAGGATGACACTGATACCTAGCCCCCCATCCCCAATGCTAGATTAAAAATGGAACAGAATTGTTCCGAGCCTAACCACACAACCCTAACATAACCATGGCACTAGTGGTATAGCTATGAAGTGGTGCAACAGCAATTGCCATGAGCTCAAAGCCAACACTTAATTGGCCATAGGATAACACTCCTCCGAGCCAAACCACACTGCTCGCTTTGCTATCAGACAGCACTGCGACGAGCCAAAGCCGACTGCCAGATGCGACCAGTGGCATATACAGGGCGCTTAAAAAAAATGTTCACACTTGTGAGAATTTGCAACAATTCCGCAAGAAATCTGCTGCCTCCAGGCTCTGGAGACCACCTGGAGAAGATTCCAGGCACGTGTTGACAATGATGGATAACAAGTGGTGACCCTTTGACTTTATTAACCTATTAACGTACATTTGTTATTATGTTACAGTGTAGTATCCGTTCTTTTTCCAATAAAAACGAGTCCCATTTAAGTGTTAACATTTTTCTAAGCACCCATTAAAAACGATAGTCCCGTTTAATTTTCGATTTAAAGCTTTCGTGACTGCAGGGATTCATCTTCTTGGTTCATTCGGTAAAGTCACATAGAAGGGACAGACCTGTTCTTCACCTGAGGACGGCTGCTTGCGTTGTAGCCGAAACGTCGTGATAATTGTATTGTATTATGTTTTATTTTGTTATGTTTAATTTATATTATTTTATTATTTCCCTTCTACGTGACTTTACCGAAAGAACCAAGAAGATGAGTCCCATTTAAGTGGTAACATTTTTTAAGCACCCTGTATATATTCAATGTGCAGGCAGTGCAACTGCACAGAATGGGGGGAGCCCAGGTGTCTGGGCTAAAGATTGAGGAACTCCAAATGCTTTCCATGCTTTTAGGGCCCATGCCAACCACACCGTGCCCACCACATGGGCACTACCCCACCACTAGCTTAGCCATCGAACAAAGACGGTCACCGTGTCATGTGCTTCCGCGGCTGTCTCGAATGCTCTTCCTTCCGATATTAGTTTCAGTTTTCAGTTTTAATTATTAGGTATAGCCCTGCGAGCCATTCGGCTCTTGAATCGGGTGCAACCGCAACAAACAAACAGAAAACATTAAGAAGCCACTGGAAGCTATGCACTTTTAAATCATCATCTAGATTGAAAACTCATTTCTTTCCTTCCCCTGTACCTCAGATTAGCGCGGTTGGCTACGTACGGTACGAAAGAAGTTCAACAAGCACGCGTACAAGATAGCACTGCTCTTAACCCAACCCAGAAGCAATCTTAGCCACGCACTGAGGACCAGGCTGGCAGTGTTCGTCCAGATCCTGTCAGCAATTGCTCGTGCTGCTCTGAGCATGGCTGTGTTGTAGCATCGGTTCCTGTGCTCGGAAAGGGGATGTCAGAGCTAATGCAGACCCGTCGCCTTGGTGCTTTGCGGTAGGTACGAGTACTCGTGCAACCTTTCAAAGTCTGGCGCAACGACCGTGCGTGAACGCGCGGGTTTCCGGGGGTCACTGAAAGGGGATTATGAGGCCGAGCGCTCACACTCGAGCGTGCTGCTCGGCGAGCCCTAATGAATCCGGAACGATGACACAAAGGCAACAGTGAGCCGTTGGGGCTACTATTTATTACGCGGACCCATTTGGTTGCAGAAGGCCAATTTACGGGAGTGCATAATGCGCTTGCACGGGGGCAAGGTCCAGGCAGTCATTACGTCGAAAACCCACCGGAGCACATCCGGTGATCAGATTAAACCATTACTCTGCGGCGTCTCGCGGCGTATAAATGCGGCGTAATATACGAGCCGAATAAACGATCGCGCACGCCGCGCGGGGCTCTCGCAGATAACGACGCCGGTGGACGGACGGCCCGACGATTCCGTTCGTTGAAAATGAGGGGGCCGGGCGTAAACGGAGCGCAAGGGGAACGAACGGCCCCCGAGGGACCACGGCGCTCGCGTCGTTTGGCGGCGCCGTGGGATCTTGAGCTCTTGAGCTCGCTGGCGCCGTGCCCTTGCAAGGCTCGCAGGTGGTCAACGGGAGCACGGCCGGTGCCGGTCGGGACAAGGTGATCCATTTGTAGATACCCCGCCAGAACGCCTCTCCGGATTAGTTTGTGTGCGTTGGACTTCTTTCGCACCGTACGATCATCTGAACTGGTCCTGGGCCTCCGCTAGGTTCGACTCGGCTTCGAATGAGTACCTGTTGCTGTGTGGAAATTGTCGTCAATGGGGAGACAAAGGTGGCCGGGCGTGGTGGTGGCCACCCAACCTCTCGTGGGCCGTGCCGACCTTCATCGGTGCTCACTAACAACAGTTGCCCCCCCAGACCTCCAAGCCCCCTCCCCCAATACCCCCTAGCCCCCCCCCCCGTTGCCCCTAGCCCCCCGCTGCCCCTAGCCCCCCCGCTGCCCCTAGCCCCCACCCGATACCCCCTAGCCCCCCCCCGATACCCCCTAGCCCCCCCCCCCGCCGCCCCTAGCCCCCCCGCTGCCCCAAGCCCCCCCGCTGCCCCTAGCCCCCCCGCTGCCCCTAGCCCCCCCTAGCCCCCCCCCCCCCGCTGCCCCTAGCCCCCCCGCTGCCCCTAGCCCCCCCTAGCCCCCCCCCCCCCCGCTGCCCCTAGCCCCCCCGCTGCCCCTAGCCCACAATGGACACGGTGCTCCCCTGGTTCTCGTCGACGGGCACGGCCACCGGGCAACCCCCGCCGTCGTCGTCCTCGTAGATTACCGCAAGCCGCCGCGGAGATAGCGGCGCGGGCGTGAATCAGCCGGCAAACGGGGCCGCCCGCCACTTGGCACCTAATTGGCGCATCGCCGCTGCAGAGCGCCCGTTCTGTTTATTTGGTCGCTTGTTTTTATCGCCGGGGGGGTGACAATTTTACTCTCGGCCGGCGATGCGTTGCCGAGTGCCGCTTTCGAACACCGCCACCACCACCGCTGCCACCGCAACCGCCAGCACCACTGGCGGAGGCTAAATTTCACTCGCTGAACGCGATCGCCGCGCTAAAAAGAGAGAGCATCTCTGAGAACGGTAGTGGCACGACCACCATTGTGGAGACACGACCACCATTTAACACGTAGGCTTTCGCGGCCAGTATTATTAGGAATAAAGGATTTGGATTTGATCGCGTTATTTATAAATGTGTCGCAACCCTCCACCACCCGACATGGCCAATCAGTAAAAAATGTGTCATGTTGACAAAATAAAAATAGTTTGCTACTTTATCCCACCAGTGTGTTGAAGAGTGAATCCACAACAATTACAATTTGAGTAGTACGACGTTTCGCTGGAAATTACATCCAGCATCTTCTGGCGATTTGCCAGAATAGTGAAGCCATCCACCTGCTGCTGGTCTTAAATAGTACAGGATGACGTCATCATTGTTGAACCCCATCACGTTTCGAGATCAGAGGTGGTGGTGTGGGTGTATGCAATTATGTAATAGATCAGTTATCAGCCACTTAGCATGTGACTCACCTGTAAGGAATTGCAATATGTGCTGTATATTACTTAATAATACGCTTCAAGGCTGTGCTGAGTCTATAGCTATCACAGCGGTTGAAATTATTTGAATTCTTCTCAATTTCAATTGATTCTCTAACTAATGTTAGCCAGTAATAATTAGTTCTGCATAACACTTCAACGTTATCAAAACCAATTGAATGTCCTTGCTGGCAAGCATGCTCTACCACTGCTGACAGCTGACATTGGGAGAAGTTAATGTTCCTTTTGTGTTCTTTTAGTCTTATTCTAATGCGACGTTCCGCAGCCTGGAAGCGTATAATTAAGACAACACATATTGCAATTCCTTACAGGTGAGTCACATGCTAAGTGGCTGATAACTGATCTATTACATAATTGCATTCACCCCCACCTCCGCCGTTGATCTCGAATCCTGATGGGGTTCAACAATGATGACGTCATCCCGCACTATTTAAGACCAGAAGCAGGTGGATGGCTTCACTATTCTGGCAATTCGCCCGAATATGCCAGCGAAACGTCGTACTACTCAAATTGTAAATGTTGTGGATTCACTCTTCAACACACCAGTGGGCTATAGTGGTGAACTATTTATGTTTTGTCAACGTGACACATTTTTTACTGATTGGCCGTGTCGGGTGGTGGAGGGTTGCGACACGTTTATAAATAACGCGATCTAAACCCAAAAACTTTTATTATGAATGACCACCATTGTAGCGACACGACCACCACTGTAGTGACACGACCACCATTGTAGCGACACGACCACCATTGTACGAATGCCTCTGGATGGATTCCGCCTGCCACCACCTTAAATACGAACCAGCCGCGTGCCACTGTTGTTCCTTCCCTTCTTCAATTGTATCCAGTCGTGGCCTCGGGACTGTGCGATTTGAATCTCGCTGTCTTCCTCGGCTTCTCGTCCCTTCAGAAGACCCTTGGGTCTCCGCTGCCGGAGTCGGGTTCGCCGTTCATCTCTCGTCAGTGGTTGCCATTGACGTGACCTGCCCAGTTCCGCTTGATTTCTGCCGCTTTAACAGCAGCAGCACCAGCGGCGTCGATGTGACGCCTCTCCCTTGATGTTTATTTCTTCACTCCATAAACCTGTCCTTTTGAACGGCGGTGAAGAGGATTCTGCGATGGGCAGGCTAGAAGGGGTCTCGTGGGAGTCTCGGCACGTCTTCCGACCTGAAGACGTGCCTATCAATTGATTTTCATTCCAGTTTTCCTTCTCATTGTGTTCCGATGCAAATCGCTCGACTGGGAGGGATGCTGTCGTGGCGTAACGGTGCACGGTGCGCCGGACTCGCAACCCGGAGGAGATCGATTCGATTTGATCTCCCGAAACAACGGGACATGTGGCCAGCCTGCGACGACAAGGCCGAACTGCCCCCCCCCCCCCCCCCGCGTAGAGGGGGCTCTGTAGAGCTCCCCCAGTGGAGGCTCTTTCAGCAGCGACGGTGTGAGCTACGGTGGCAAGATGTTAACTACCTCGCCTGGTATGCAGGAAGTCGTGGCTTCGATCCTGACACCTGCTGTTCATTTGGAGTTTGCGTGTTTCTCTCTCCTCGTGGTCGCGTGGATTTTTCTCTGGGTACTCCGGTTATTCCCTCCAAATTTCGAAACATGCGTTGGTTTAAATTCGCGCGCAATGATAACCCAGAATGAAGATGAATTTCGAGTGTTTGGCTGCTATGAATGCCCACGTGATAAGCCACTTCGTCGAGCTATCATATTCGTGGCCAGGTCGCTTCTGAAAAAGAGCTGCATAGCTCAGTGGGCCTTAACTGGCAAAATAAAAATAGTCGCTTGACTTTATGAAGCCAGACATTGCGAGCCTTCACCTTTGCCCTCCGCCACGTTTTAGTATTCACAATTCCGGTTATAACACGGGAAAGGCGTTAGCCGTTCGAACGTCTTATCGTTTGGACGCTGGGTCGTCATCTATTGAGTGCATGCGTGTGTGCGTGTGTGTCGTCTGCGTGTGCGTGTGTGTCGTGTGCGTGCGTGTCTGCGTGTGCGTGCGTGTCTGCATGTCCGTGCGTGTCGTGTGCGTGTGTGTCTGCATGCGTGTCTGCGTGTGTGTGCGTGTCTGCGTGTGCATGCGTGTCTGCGTGTCCTGCAGCTGCCACACTTGCCGCACATCAGCGAGAGCCTGATGAAGAGGAGCCTCAAGCCGGCCGACATGCAGGAGATGACCCTGGGCCAGCTGCAGGTCATCGTCAACGATCTGCACTCCCAGATCGAGAGTAAGGTCGCTCGCTGGGCAGCGACGCCCACGGGGACTCGGGGGGCGGGGGGGCTGTGGCTCCGAGGGTGGGGGCTGCAGCAGTAGAAGTCCACCACTGTTTGTAATCGTCGTCATCGTCATCACCGTCGTCATCATCGTATCACATCTGCTGCTGATGCTTCACTGCCAACACTCTCCGCTCTCGTGCCGTCTCCTCCTCCTCCATTCCATCTGTCCAACTCTGCCGCGCTCATCCTCTGTCTCTCTTTGCCTTCCTCTCGCGCTGCCGCTGCTCCTTGCCGCAACGCTGTTTGGTGGCACCTCGCCGCCACGACCACGCCGTTGCCGTCGGCGTTCCTCGGATCCACCTCCTGCTGTTGCTCCTTCACTTCTACGGGTGTTCGTGCGATCATTAAGGGGCCTTTAATGGGCAATGTAATTCCAATGAAGGCATTGTCAGGGCCAAGGTGAAGTTAATGTATTATAGCAGGGGGGAAAGGTCTTATTGTGGGTCAGACATCTCGATGGTGTAAGTTCACCTTTAAGCTCTGAATTATAGCAGCGGTCAAAGCGTATCTGGGCAGAACTCCATTCTGCGCCTCTACTTGTAAACAAACGGATTTCTTTCGTCCATCAGACAAATTGTCTTTCCAAACATTAGTTAAGCAAGCAGCCTGACTCTGCGGATGAGACCAAGACTGGTTAAAATCTTTCTTGCTCGAACGAATGCTACTGAATAGCATTGATGCACAAAAAATTGTTTATGTCGACACCCAGAGCCGGAGATCTGCTCACATTGGCTCTTTACCCATACTGCTCTGCAGAAGCACACACCGAGTTCATTTACAATCATACAGGCGCGCTCATTTCATTTTACAAGTAGCGTAATTATAATGCAGGCCCGCTGGTCGTCGTTCTAAAGGAGATGATTAGCTCAATGGGCCTTGGCGGCTGAAATGAAGTCTCGAGTCTGAAGTGCGATTCCAGGCTGTGGGAGACAGAAGCAGCGACACATGCGTGCGCATCAGTGACAAAGGGCGCCACGGTGGCGAGATGTTAACAACCTCGCCTGGTATTCAGGCGGTCGTGGATTCGATGCCCGACCCTGACGCCTGCTGTATATTTGGTGCCTCTATGCCCGTGGTCTCGTATCCTCCGGTTTTTCCCTCCCACATTTAGAATCAACGTCCGCGGAGTATTTGGCCGCTATAAATTTCCGCGCGATGATAAGCCACTTCGTTGAGCTATCATTTGTGATAAGCCAGGTCACTTCTGAAAGAGAGAGCCACGGAGCTCAATGGGCCTTTACCTGGTGAAGTGAAACGTTTAGCTTAGGGGGTCGGAGTGCAAAGGCAAAATAAACGACGGACGTTTGGTTTTCTTTTTTTGCCACGCTCGTGCTATTATGGTGCGGAGTGGGAGTGGAAGTGCCCCTGTTCATCAGCAATTGCAGGGTCATTAAGTCCATTTCGCCAATCGTGGAGGGGGGATGTGGGGCGCTCCTATTGTGGCGCCCAAACGCGCTCTCTGAATTTCACTTCCGTTTGAACCCGAAGCGTAATTGGATTTCTTTTTCATTTTTTACCGTGGCAAAAGCCGTAATTGTCGTCCAAATGAATTTGTGTGTTCTTATAACTGTTTCCAAATTCTTAATAATAATCTCGTTAACGTAGAACGCTTTTGTTAGTGTTATCATCGGGCACTGCTTCAATGTTGTTAATTAAGCGTAAAATACATGCCCCGCAACTTTGCGCAATATTGCGCCCATTGCTCGTGATTAATAATTCAAACATTTTAGCGCCACGCTTAAATATCAAAATTTATTATTTTATTTCTCTTTTTACTTCAGAGCATCTGTTATTTTATTTTTTCATTCTGTAACCAACAATCGGTCCCTCCCCCCTCCTCCCTCACCATTAAAGGCAAGAATTGCAGCTCCATTGGTTTCAGCCACTTGCAATTTATTGTCGCCATTAAACCTGGGAATTTCTGTGAGCACACGGACGGACAGATTTGACAGATTTAACGGACGCACCGGTGACATAAAACGTCCGCCGTTGCCTGCAATGAGGTGGCGGACGCCCGGTAAATCTCAAGAGGCTGCCCATGCCTGTCGGTGATTCCGTCGTTTAGACTGGCAAACAGTCTCGGTGGCAGGGTCACGCCCTGTCGCAACGCTCCCAGCTCATGGCGAGGGACGGCCGGGGTTCGATTCCCGACTCAGGCGCTGCCTCTCTGCGTGCGGTTTGTAAGTTCTCCCCCCGTCCTGCACGGCTTTCTTCTGGGTTCTCCATTTTCCTCGCGATAGCTTTAAAGCAAATAAATATATGATAAAAACGATAATGAATAATAAAGCATGCGTGTTACTGGAGTTGGTCAAAATATCCCAATGTTGAAGAAGAAAAAAAAAACCCGCAAGGCAACGCAATTGAGATTCCACATCGGCATCCGCTGCCCACGGCTGCGGAACCCCCCTAGGTGAAGAGTCCAGAGTCTCGGCGAGGCTTCCCTTTGCAAGCAAGCAACGTAATAATAGAAACTATAAACCTTTTTTTTAAAGAAGTCACCTGGCTGGCCACATGAACGCTTAACAAAGTGGCTTATCATCGTGTGGATATTTGTAGCAGCCAAATACGATAAAGGCATGTTGATTCTGAATGTGGATAGGGAAAAACCAGAAGATCCTGAGAAAAATCCACGCAACCACGGGGAGAACACGCAAACTCCAAATATGCAGGTGTCGGGGTCGGGATCGAACACACGACCTCCTGCATGCCAGGCGAGGTAGTAACATCTCGCCTCCGAGGCACCAATATATGGAAAAGGTGATGGATAAGCACGTGGCCTGTAACCTAGCATTGTGGATGGTTGGTGGATCGCACAAATGTTATGGAACATCCTTGTTCCGTAACAACAACAATGACAACAACGACAACAACAACGATGACAACAAGCGTGTAAAATTGGAATCATCGAGAGTGTTCTATGTGAATAAAACGCTCTACCTAGCATTTACCGTTATAAACCTTTGTCATGTGTAGTAGTACCCCAGTAATTACCCTGTAATCGGGTAATTTTTATGGGGTAAGGGTAAAAGGTAGGGTAAAGGTAGGCTCGTTGCTTTTTACCTTTTACCTTACCTGCTAAAGGGTAAAAGGTAGGGTAGAGCGATTGTATTGTGGTATGGTAAAAGGTAGGGTAAAGGTAGGCTCGATGTTTTTACCTTTTAACTTTTACCTTACCTTGCCGAGGCCTACGTGGCCGTCGAGGAGGAAGGGGTACAGCAGAGTGTGTATGGGATAGAGCGTTGCTCCTTTGCATGTGTGAGTTTTCTCCGTGGAACTCCCCGTTTCCCCCAACCTGTGTGAGTGCCCCTCAATTAGCTGATTGTGCAGCGTTGCGTGATGCGGGTGCATAAATAACACGATATAAAAACTAAATATTACAATTATAGTTATCTCGCCAGCATGGTAGAGTAGGCAAAATACCCTCTAGAGAGAGCTCACGGGATCTGCCTCTCCGGGAGTCCCTTCCCCCAGTGGTGGCAGTATGAGCAATTAATCCCAGGGCCGCACCTTCCTACTTATTCTTTCTGAATAAAATATTTAAAAGCGTGCGCTGTGGGCCTGGATTTGAGAGCCGCCAATTTCCCAAAGGCCCAGCAGCACGACACAGCGCTTCCATCATCATGGCCACGGCCAGGCCTTCGCGAAGGAGGAACGTTGGAAAAAATACACGGCGCTCTTCATCGCCGTGGATCACGAATGCAGCGACACTGCTCCCCCACCCCTCCCTCTCTGCCTCGTGAGCTCTATTGACTCTGCTGCTGTGCTCACTTTTTGTTTGGTGTCGTGGGCGCAGTGGTTGGTCGGGTCGCGAGAGTAGAGTGTGCGAGCCCAGCCGCCGGATCGCGCCGTTGGTTTTTGAACGCCGAGTCACAGCCAGAGCTTGGTCTCGGCCGTGCCGAGCGGCCGCAAACGAAACGCCGTGACGCGCTCGCCTCCGTGAGACATCTGAATCTGGCTTGGAGGGGTGGGGGGGGGCTAATGACGCGTCCGACGCGTGTGCGTGACGTCCGTCGGCACGCCGTGAGGACCGCGGCGTCGCCGCGTCACCGCGTCCGTCAGCGGTGCGGCTCGGCTTCTGTAGTGGAAAAAAAACAACCCAGGGCCACGCCGGGCTGGCCTGGTTGCGCTGTGGGAAAAAGAGGGTGCGTGCGCGGGCGCGTGCGTGTGTGTCGTGTGTGTGTGTGTGTGTCGCGTGCGTGTGTGTCACGTGTGTATGTGTGCGTGTCGCGTGCGGTGCGTGTTTGTCACGCTCCAGGCCTGAACGAGGAGCTGGTGCAGCTGCTGCTGGTGAGGGATGAGTTGCACATGGAGCAGGATGCCATGCTGGTGGACATCGAGGACCTCACCAGGGCGGTGTGACCGTCGCCGCGGCCGCAACCGGTAACCCACCGCTTCTCCTCGCCCACGCGGCTGCCCGCCGGGGGGGAGGGGGGGCGACGTAGCGGCGATTGAGCGTGCAGGCGGTTCCCGGAGGGGCCCCACCAAAGCGTAGGGGTCCCACCGCCCCCGGGGACCCATCCCACCGCCCCCGGGGACCCACCCCCCCCCCCCCCTCTCTTTCATTCCTCGCGGCCGAGGTTCGTGCCGAGATCGCTAGGCCCCCTGCCGCTGCACAAAGAGTGTCGCGGTTGTTAACGTCGCGGGCGCGTGCGTTGAGTCGGGTAAGAATCTGACCGTGTCGTGTTGTACGTGATCGGTTCATGCCACCACCGCGGCCGGTAACCTCGAGGTACAACCGGGGATTAGCTTCAAGCCGGGTCTGCCCGGAGATCAGCGACCCCGAAAATATTTTTCCCCTCCCCCCCCCCCCTACTGCACAGCGTTGCACCTAACTGAGGCCTCGTGTTTCCCATCTGCCGTCCTGTCTCGAGGCATACTTGCGGCCCAAACTCTTGTTTTGTCAGTGAGAGATCAAGCTCTGGGTGTTTACCATTCACTGAAACGTAACGTAATTGTCGATTCTCAAAAACCGGCTGGAACCCTCGACCCTGATGGTCGACCAGGAGGGTGAGACGCTCCACTCGTAAGTCGCCCAATGCAACTCGTTCGGGGCGACACGATGGCAGAATCCCCAACTTGGCCAACGAATCAGAATCAGGATATTTATTTATACTGCAGGAATCCGATGCGCTATAAAGCTCGTTTGCACAGATGTCCAGTAAAATGTCTCAGTCTCATGGTGGCCTCCTTCCTTGTTGCCTGCGGCCAGGACAGATAATTCATCTCTTTTCCGCTCTCCTACATTGCCCTTTGTGGGAGCCTCGGTACTTCTTGCGACCTGAAGATGTGCCGATGAAGTTGTTTTATTCTAGTTTTTCTTCCGATTCATCGGAGCGGAATCGGAAGGAAAGCCGATGACGTACACACGCGCACGTCATTGGCATGAGAATGGGATAAAAGTGTTTCTTTCTCAAGGTGGCTTTTGTTGCAGAAAAGAAACAAAAACAACAACAACCTTTTCATGCATTCCACGCAGCAGCCAGTTTTGTTACCGTGCCTTGTTATGCAATGAACATCATTTTCTAATAATCGTTTAGATTTATTACAGCGTCCCAGTGCCTCGTCTCAGGCGGCGTGCAGGTTTTGCGCGTGCGTGGGGGGGGGGGCGTGAGACGTTAAGGCTGAGTGAACGACAATCTTCCCATGTCACGCGACGTGGGCCTGTCGAGCACTCCCCACGGGTGACCGTCATTAGTCTGGAAACCCGAGGCTGGCTCATTTGGCTAATTGAGGTGACGTCCGCCAAGATGAATAGGAGTCACAAATGACATCTCGCTGAATCTGCGCGCGAGTGTGCACGTGCGTATGTGCGTGGAGCGGTGTTGTAGCGGTTAGCGCACTGCGCTACAAACCCGGCCACCCGAGTTCGATTCCCGCTCGCGGCCAACACCAGTGACGGATTATCTGAATCGGTCCTGGGCCTCCTCTCAATCTACTCAGCCTCAAGCGAGTACCTGGTGCGGTGTGTAAACATCGCCACTAGGGAGACAAAGGCGGCCGGGCGAGGTGTTGGGCGCCCACCTCCGACCTCCATAGGTGATTGCTGACAGCAGTGGTTACCGTGCTGAGCTCTGAACCTGGCAACCTGAGTTCGATTCCTGCTCGTCGCTAACATCAGTAACAATTATCTCCGCCGGTCCTGGGCCTGTGTAAACATCAGCGCTCGGGAGCCAACATTACAGCATCACAGTACCGGCCACACCACCCCCTCGTGTGCTGTGCCGGCCTTCATAGGCACATGTTCACTGCACTGGCCCCAACAGTCCATCAAAGGCTGTGAGTTTGTGTATATGTCACATTTACATAATTATCAATGCTGCATTTGCCCCCTGGGCAGTGTTGGCTCAAAGGGATTCTCACCAGCTCAGCACCAACACTGTTTTCCCTTTGCAACTGCTTAGGAAAGGCAATTAAGTGATTTAATAATAGCTCGTATTTATAATTCCCATCATCACATTCGCCATGCGAAATATTTTTTGTTTCATATGCTCTCCATTCTGGCCTCATTCATTACATGCGGTACCTGCTCACCTCCAGGGCATAGTATCTTAGCCATTGCACATTTGAGCACAGTTATATATTCGAGGACGCTGCCCCTGGTGTAACGGTCAGCACGCTGGACTTGCAATGCGGGGGTTCCGCGACTTCGGTTCCATCTCCTGTGCGCCAATCGATACGGTGGGGCAGGTTTCTTGAATCGCCGTCTTTGCCTCTGTCCGTCCAGCGGTATAAATCGGCACAACACAGTCAGCTGATCGGGAGATCCACGTGTGGTGCGGTGGGGTAAAGTGTTTTGGGTACTCCCCTCCGCTTCCAAAATTTCTGGCCAGTGTGGAAGAGTAGGCCAAAACACCCTCGGGAGGAGCTCTCTGGAGCTCTCGATATTGGGGGAGGCCCTTCCGCAAGCAGTGGCATGAGTAGGCAATTTCAGGGCTGCACCTTTACCTTATACTCTGCACACTTGTGTCACTCGTATGACGATTCTCTTTGTCTGCTCACTGCTAGGAACGTTTTCGTAGCTGTTGCACATTTAAGTACAGTTTTAGATGCATATACATTAAATGAATCATCATCATCATCACAATCCAGGTGTGCACTGCACATTTCGTCATTTGTTTCCACTTTCCTCTCCTCTGTCTTGTGCCAATACGCACAAGTAGTGCCACATCGTTCTGGCACCAATCTCAAAATGCATTCCTAAATTTTTACCACCTGCAAGTCTCTGGCACTCCGCTGTGCATATAACGATGCCCATACTCCAGACGTTTGGCCATTAGAATTAAAGAACAAGGCTCCCGACTGACAATTGCCTCAATTTCTAATAACATAAACTGCAATTGGGAATAACTAATGGCTTCACCCCGTTGGCAATGGATTGCCAATTACGGAAAGAAAATCAGCTTCGTGCTCTGTTGTGATTCCGAGGCTTGGCCAGGTGGCCTAGAGGGCGCGTGAGGCTCCCTTTGGTTCTCGTCTTGATGTTGCGTTTCAAACCGGGCCCTCGCTCGCGTATAAACAAAAACACACTTGGACCCCCCTGTGCTTTATGCAAAAACTGAAAGTCCATCGGCGTTTCCCGCAGGTGCTGCTGCATTGTTGTCTGCTTGTCTTAGATCACCATCAAAATAAATTGGAGCAAATGTGACCAACTGACAGGCAGCAGTGATGCGGTGACAGGTCAACTGTGGACCAGTTTCACCCTAATTCGGACTCATGAGCGCGGCATCGTCACCAAGGCTCAACGCTGATGGGTTTTCGTTGTCATTTACAGGTTCGATTTTTGAACTCGACCCTAAAAACCCCTGCGGGAGGCATCCTTGAGCTATCGGGGGTTTGGCAGCACGAGATAAATGTGTTACCCCCAAATCACCGCTGATGTGTTTCATTTGTCGCCAACTCGGACGTGGCACACGAGTTGAACATCGCTGAGAAGAGGTGCCCATTGATTGATGAAGCTCAACTGGCCGCTCAGTGACGCACGCACAGCCACACTTGCACGAGAGGGCTGCAAGATTTGCCTTGGGATTTGGCAGGGCCACGGCTGGATAGCTCGCAAGGCTGTGTGTGTTTTTTTGTAGGGTTGTCGTGATATGGCGGTGCCATGATATATCGTGCGATATAAGGTCAATGATAATCCCCTTGTCTATTTGGTAAAATATTATTATATCTTGGTGAGGAGTGGAGATCCCACGATGTTATAAACTTCCCTTGTGCATGAAGCAGTCTCCCTCCTTAACCGCCTTCCATTCCTCTCTCAAAGCCTCGCCTCTTATCTACTGCCCATTCCCTTCCTCTTCCCTCCACTCCTTCCCATCCCTCCCCTTCACTTTAGTGATCCATAAGTACCCCTTTATCGCTGTCACTCAATCCTTGCACCCCCTCCCCAACTGCCATCTAAATCATGCTATCGTGTGTCATCGTTTTGTAAGCTATGTCAAGCGCCTTGAGTGAAAGCACTCTTTGTAAATATACAATTAGATTCGATAGAAGAAGAAAAATAAGAGGCCACGTTTGCTGGCGTCACGGTCCCAGTTTTGCCAAATGGTCAAATCGCTCGCAAGGTGACAAATTTGGGTGAAGCTAAGCGGCGACATCACCCAGCCCTCGCGCTTGCTGCGTCACGACTGCAGGCGATACTCGTCGGCGGCGCACAGCACCTCCGTGACAGCGTCGCGCGACCACACACGTGCGTGCTTATGGGATCGATGTAAGACGCACAGAAAATGGAACCGTCCGTTTTGCGGAGTATCGCCGTGTCGCCAATTACCGCTGCTCATTTTCTCTTTCCCGCATATTTACTTTTCTGACAAAATATTCACGAAGCAACGGACTCGGCTGTTAAAGCTGAAAATGTATAGCTGCTCATTGAACGGCTGCTTTGGCAAACTGATTCCCGGAGTAATTGATGGCACGGTGGTCTGTTTTCGTAAATATATTTCACCAGGAAGTCGACATCTTAGAAAAATGTAACGAGCAACGAAAATCACCGTGTGATGTTGATTCCATATCGCGGTGTGCGATATTTCGTGGCATCGTGGTATCATAGTATCGCCATCTGGTGGCGACACACCGACGCCGTGGCGGATACCAGGAGGGAGCGATGTGGGCTCTAGCTCCCCCCGCCTATTTTATTGATTTATACCAGAGGAAATACTTGGAACGTTTTTTAAAATTGATTATCTTTCATGCAGGGCCCTATTTAAATAGAATTGCACTTTGGGGCTGTTCAGCCTCCCCCTTGGGATGTTTATAGATCCACTCATCTAAACAAGAAATGTAACTATTTGTATTTAACCAGGTAAGACCACACTGAGCTGTACAGCTCTTTTTCAGAAGCGACTTGGCTGTCATGATAGCTGAACGAAGTGGCCCATCACGTGGAAATATATAGCAGCCAAATACCCTTAAATGCGTGATGTTGATTCTGAACGTTGAGGGAAAAATCGGGGCACCCGGAGAAAAATCCATACGACCACGGAGAGAGAGAGAGACATGCAAACTCCAAATAAACAGGGGTCAGGAGCGAGCACACGACTTCCTGCATACCAAGCGAGGCGGTTAACATCTCGCCGCCGCAGCGCCTTGTTAGCGCAGGCAGACAAACGTTACTTAAGGTCGTGAGCAGATTCCCATTGGCCCTGAAGAATAGATGCGGTCCGTTTTAATGTCCACCGCGCGGGATTTTGATAGCAGATCAATTACCCAACATTAGCCCGTGAAACGCCATGCCTGCACGCACCGGGGTATGCAGGATTGGCAGAAGAAATTGGATTTCCAGTTGACGCGATCGACCGAGCAAGCAACTTGGCGGCCGCTGCGATTGATTTTAAATTCCACGTCTTAATCCATTTTTAATTACTATTATTATTATAATGCTCCGCGTGAATATTGACCCGCGTAATCATTTGTACGTGAAGGTAAATTACCCGGCCCCTGACCAAATCATCCGGAACGCGCCCAAGTCTCGTCACGTCTTAGCAGCTGAGCAGGGTTGAGCCTGGATTGTTTTATGGGTCGGCGACCACCGTTGCATGAAACACGTGCCATAGGCAACAGGGGCCATTGCAGTACAATGCACAGTTGTACCGTACTTCTACGCTCCCACGTCTGTGCTCCCTACCTTGGCCATCCCGCGCTGGCCAGTGTGGTAAAGTATGGGCAAATGTCTCGCACGACCCGCACAGGGTGGGGAGGAGTCCCTCATCCGGCAGTGGATCGACAACAATGGCCGTACACGAACGAGAATAATTTGCCATCATAATCGGCCATGATCGATCCACTGCTGGACAAAAGGCCTCTCCCCAAGCCATCGCCATTTCTCACAGTTTCCGCGACGGGACCAATCTGACCGTCGCCCGTCGACCTCGGCGAGCAGTCCTTGCCCAGGCCCGTTTACTTTTGCGGTCGGTGTGCACGATGTATCTCGCCTTCACCCCCGTGGGTTGTTCTCTCGGCCCTCACGTTCAATAACTCGAGGGAGATGCCTGCGTAGCATGACTCACGACCTCCTCTTGATACCAATATCCAGGACGGTCACGTCTATTGCGCCGCTTCTCGGTGGCAGCACCAACAGTCTGGAACGCCATCACCCCTCTGCACATTCGCAGCATCACCTCAATTGCCTCCTTCAAGAGACACTTAAAAACTCACCTCTATAACCGCGTGCTTTCGAGCGACTCTGAGCTTGGCTCCGCACTTCTGAGTTGCGGCCGTTAGGTCCGCAAATTTTCGCGTTATAAATTGCATTATTATTATTGTGACGGAATATGTTTCTGGAGATGCTCGCGAATAGAAAATTTCGCCGATAATGAAATTGGCCTTTTTCACGCATTACCTTAAATGAATATGTAAATAAGCTTTCTCTCTCATCACTTTATCCCATCACTTTAGCTCATAATTTTCTCACATCACATTCTCTTTCTTCACTTTGTCTCATAATTTTCTCACATCACATTCTCTCTCAACACTTTATCTCCCATCACTCGATCTCATCACTTTCGATGCAGTAGTGTAGAACTCCCCATGCGATTTGCGGATGGGTGGCAAGTTCGTGAATAACGAGGGAATACCGTACATGGCGATAAACACGTACGCACGTGTGTTTGTTGAAATTCTTTCGCACCGCACGTATCCAAACATGCTAATCGAAGGTGCAGTGTTGAGTCTATGGGCAGTGGTGAGTCTATGGGAAGTGCTGAGTCTATGGGAAGTGCTGAGTCTATGGGCAGTGTTGAGCCTATGGGCAGTGTTGAGTCTATGGGCAGTGCTGAGTCTATGGGAAGTGCTGAGTCTATGGGCAGTGCTGACTCTATGGGCAGTGTTTAGTCTATGGGCAATGTTTAGTCTATGAGCAGCGTTGAGTCTATGGGCAGTGCTGAGTCTATGGGCAGTGTTGAGTCTATGGGATGTGCTGAGTCTATGGGCAGTGCTGAGTCTATGGGCAGTGTTAAGTCTATGGGCAGTGCTGAGTCTATGGGAAGTGCTGAGTCTATGGGCAGTGCTGAGTCTATGGGCAGTGTTAAGTCTATGGGCAGTGCTGAGTCTATGGGCAGTGTTAAGTCTATGGGCAGTGTTGAGTCTATGGGAAGTGCTGAGTCTATGGGCAGTATTGAGTCTATGGGCAGTGCTGAGTCTACGGGAAGTGCTGAGTCTATGGGCAGTGCTGAGTCTATGGGCAGTGTTGAGTCTATGGGCAGTGTTGAGTCTATGGGAAGTGCTGAGTCTATGGGCAGTGTTGAGTCTATGGTGCAGTGCTGAGTCTATGGGCAGTGCTCAGTCTATGGCAGTGCTGAGTTTATGGCAGTGTTGAGTCTATGAGCAGTGCTGAGTCGATGGGCAGTGTTGAGTCTATGGGCAGTGCTGAGTCTATGGGAATTGCTGAGTCAATGGGCAGTGTTGAGTCTATGGTGCAGTGCTGAGTCTATGGGCAGTGTTGAGTCTATGGGCAGTGCTGAGTCTATGGGAAGTGCTGAGTCTATGGGCAGTGTTGAGTCTATGGGCAGTGCTGAGTCTATGGGAAGTGCTGAGTCTATGGGCAGTGCTGAGTCTATGCGCAGTGTTGAGTCTATGGGCAGTGTTGAGTCTATGGGCAGTGCTGAGTCTATGGGAAGTGCTGAGTCTATGGGCAGTGCTGAGTCTATGGGCAGTGTTGAGTCTATGGGCAGTGCTCAGTCTATGGCAGTGCTGAGTTTATGGCAGTGTTGAGTCTATGGGCAGTGCTGAGTCGATGGGCAGTGTTGAGTCTATGGGCAGTGCTAAGTCTATGGGAATTGCTGAGTCTATGGGCAGTGTTGAGTCTATGGTGCAGTGCTGAGTCTATGGGCAGTGCTGAGTCCATGGCAGTGCTGAGTCTATGGCAGTGTTGAGTCTATCGGCAGTGTTGAGTCTATGGGCAGTGTTGAGTCTATGGGCAGTGCTGAGTCTATGGGCAGTGCTGAGTCTATGAGCAGTATGTATGTTGAACTTATTTCGCGCCGTGCGTAGCCAACCGTACTAATCGGAGGTGCCCGTGTTTCTTTTGTGTCTCGTTGCAGGCACGACGGCGGCGGGCAGGAGGAGCGAGGCATGTAAATAGCATGTGGAAGGTGAACCGTGGCGTGACGTCCTTACCTAGGCACGGGTTACGGGAAAGCCCTAACACTTAGATCTAGCGACAAGAGAAAAACGAATATTCATCATGAAAGGTCACGAATTAACGATCGCGTAATTGCACCGTCCAGCGCGTTTGCGCGCGGCATTCGGCGCGTCCGTTGCGTCATCGTCGTCGCGGTACGCTGTCGTTGGCCATCGAAAGGGGTGGGGGGGGCGAGGGGGGGGCGGGGGGGAGAGGGGGGCGGGGGCAGGGGGGGGCACCTCGCACCGGGGGGGTCGTCCGTCGGAGCATTCGGCGCTCGTCCCGCGGAGCGAGAAACGCGTTACCGAGCCTCGCTCGGATCCGCATTCGCCCCCGCGACGCGTCGACGTCACAGATACTTATTTTTTTTCCACCCGGCCCCTCCCCGCCCCGACCAACGTTCACCACGCGGTCGTCGTTCGAAACCCCAGCAGTCCACCGCTTTTCGATCCGACGCGACGGTTGAGACGCCAGTGGCTAATTTCGTAAATCCCCTCCGCTGCCACCGCCGCCTCAGCCGTCCACCGAGCCGTATGAATGTGGTGGTGAGTGGCAGTTTAGTCGCGCCGGCGAGGGGTGAGGCGTGGGTGCTCCCAACCTCTTCTCCGAAGACGCCTGGCAAGCGTGGAAGAAGAGCGTCGGCCGAAACACCCTCCAGGTGGTGCTCCCTGCTGGAGCGCCCTCTGGTGGAGGCACCTTCCGGCAGCAGCGGCGTGGGCGAGGAAATTGCAGGGCTGCGCCATTACCCGTGCAGTTGTGTCGCGCGGCATACGCGTGGCACATGACACCCACGCGCACACGTACACGTACACGACATGTGTGGCCTGGTTTATGTAACAACTTATAAGAAAACCATCTGTTTTGCTTTTAAAGTATCGCGATAAAAACGTTACAATTTATTAACAAAAATGTATTGGTGAAGGATTCTTAAACATGTAATTGTATGATAAATACTACTATAGTCGGAATCAATTGATTTTCTTTCGTAAAGATATTTTTGAGGAATGTCATTGTTGTTGTTTTATGGTACATATCCAAACCTCTTCTGTATGTTTTACTTCTTTCGCACCGTACGTAGCCAACCATGCTAATCGGAGGTGCACAGGAAGGACAACAAACTAAACACAAAACGTGGTTCAAAATAAATGAGTTTTCAATCTGGACGTTTTCAAAGTGCATAGCTCCGGTGGCTTCCTAATGTGGGAAGGAAGAGCGTTCCAGACGGCCACAGAAGTGCGTCCGGAAGCGCACGACGCAGTTACCGTCTTTGTTTGATGGCTTCTGTGCCATATCCACACCACTTCTGTGCCATACTTCCCCTTCCTGTCACACGGGGTCACTGCTCGGGGCCTCCCTATCCGCACGCTTCTCCTCTGCACCTCTTCTCCAGTCAACTCCGCCCTCCTCGTGTTTCGCTGCACCGCATCCCCCCGTCTCGCCCCTCGGTTTCCTGCTGGCTCTTGCAGTCCTGCATCGGTAGCCGACGCATCTCTGTGAGTCAATGGGTTTCTGTGCGAGTCTATGGGTTTGTGTGTGTGTCTGTGGGTTTGTGCAAGTCGACGGGTTTATGTGCGAGTCTTTGGGTTTCTCTGTGAGTATGCGCTTCTGAGTGAGTCAATGGATTTCTACGTGACACTATGGGTTTGTGTGTAAATCTGGATTTCTGTGATTCTTTTGGTTTCTGTGTGAGGCTGTGGGTTTCTTTGTGACACGATGGGTTTGTGTGTAAATCTGGATTTCCGTGTGATTCTTTGGGTTTCTGTGTGAGGCTGTGGGATTCTGTGTGAGGCTACGGGCTTATATTCTGCATAGCCCTTCCCATTGCATCTTCTTTGTCTCTTTTCAACACACGGCCAAACCATCTAAGTCTTGACCCCCCCCCCCCCCCCCCATTCGTTCTCTAGAACCTTCCGCTGAGGTTCTAACTCCTTCATTCCGCCTCCTTTCTCTTCAAAAGTTTCCCAACAGCTATCTCGGTATTCCCATCTCTGTCCTTCGAAGCCTCTTCTTCCTATCTTCCTTAGTGCCCTCTCTCTCAAGCGGTCATATCACTGCCTCATATCATTTCCTTTTCAATTTGACTGGCATCACGTAAAATTCCATAAATCTCTCTCCGTACGTTCACCGAGAGGTGCTGAATACAGCCCCTGCTTTTTAAAGCCCCCTCTGAAGCCACATGCGCCGCAGCAATAATCGTTGCCACCGTTAAAACGAAAATTAAACGTGCGCGTTGCGCGTCCCGTGAAATCAAGGCATTATTAGTATTATTCGTATTTAAATGGAAATGTTCATGTATGTGTGAATGATACATGTGTACATTTTCAACAACAAAAACACGTTCAAGTATAAGAAGTTATAGTTCGAAGAAAAAAATACACAATGCAATGTGGATTTCTGTAGCGTCGAAATGTGACCGCGCCATTTCACTGCACATTTATTCGTGAGAGGCAGTCAGTGGTGGGCCGAGGCAAAGAGGAAGGGAGGAAGGCCTTGAGCCTGGGCTTGAATGGGGCAGGGGGGGAGCAGGGAGTCGCCAGCACGGACGTCTGGGGGGTTGGGAGCTCCAGCCAATGTGGACAGCAGAGGAGAATAATCGACCGATATAGTCAGTTTAACACGTAGGCTTTTCGCGACCAATACTATCCATAGCGAAGTTTTTTTTGGGGGGGAGGGGGGGGGGTTAGATCACGTAAATAGTGAGGTTTGTCGCTTCAACAAAACGTGCCAATTAGTTGTGCTGAAGTAAGTAATTGCCAAATATTCTTTACGTGACAACCCTTACTAATCAGCTGTATCGGACGGTGGCGGGTTTAACGACACATTCATATTCACGCGATCTAACCCAAAAACGAACCTTCATGGATATACACTCACATAGCAGATACGTGCAGCTCGTGACTGCAGCCATTGGTGGATTGCCACGTGCGCTGCCCGTCGCACCTTATAGCAGCCCCAGAACAACATTGGGTTCACACTGCAGAGCGAGGGCGGGCCAGGGAACATAGCCTATAGCCTTGTTTACTGGCGGCGTAGCGTGCGTCACACGGGCACTGGTACAAGGATTGAAATAGAGGCCCCCTGTCCCAGTCCCATAAGCCCATAGGCCCTAGTGCAGTTGGCACTGCCGACCCACTCGATTGCTACTCCACTGCTTGTTATTGTCACAGAGCAGCCTTGCGTCGATGGCAGATCTTGAGCATGCGTTTTAAGACTTTCTTTGGGCTGCTATAAAGTTGCCACGTGATTGGTGATAAGCCACTTTTGTGCGAGTCGTCATTTGTGGCCGGGTCACTTCTGAAAAAAAGAGCTGCATCGCTCAGTCGTCTGTTACCTGGTCAAATTTTAAAAAAATATTGTTTCGTTTTTAGTTTAGATGAATGCTTCCGGTGGGAGATGAACTGCGAAGGGCGTCGTAGTGATTTCCCACAAGTCCCGCGCTCAGCCGCGCGTCTTCTCCCTCCGTGGAGCTGAAGCGCGCGTGGCAGGGCATGGCACTAAAAGCAACATTGCAGCACATGCCGTGGGAACAAGGTGGCGCCTTTATCGAACACAAACGCCGCAGTGAGCTTCGTATGTAATTCCAGCGGGCCCCCTTCAACTGCCAAAATAGGAAGCTGCGGTTCGCGTGCGGCTGGAAGAAAATCGAAAATGCTTTAAAAATCGCGCGTTCACTTGGCGTTCTAAAATTGGCTTCTTCAGCGATGAGAGGCAGAACTTTGTCAAGTAAAATAATCAGGATCAAATCTTCCCCCCACCCCCCCGGCGACATGTGGCAATTCCGCTTTGTATAAACACGCCCGACGTGTCTTCAGAGAGCACGCGCGGGTCAAAGGCATCGTTCGAGTTGCTGACAAAAGTAAGAAAGCGGGGCTTGGGCAGGAGATGTTGGCCACCCCGAAGGGACGATGACCGACGGCAGGGAATCGGTGGGGCCGAGTGGCAGAGGAGGTCGTGGAACGCGCGTCGGGTGGAGACTTCCGCCGAAGGAGATGGAGCGATCGATCGGTTTGCGAGTCGGTGTTAGGTGGATTGTGAAATCGCAGGACCGTGAGAGATGGTGGCTTTGGTGGGGGGGGGGGGGTGGATTAGACCTTTGTCCAGCAGTAGAATGATCGCTGATGATTATGATGATGATCATATTGTGTGTGTGTATATATAAGCACACTGCTAATTTAAAAAAAATCAATATCCACACCCAAGCTGTGATGTGTTTTTTACTTCTCTTGCAACGCACACACACACTTACTTTGCGTCCGTGTCGGGCACAATCGAGTGTCCCAACGATGCGAAACTGGAATTTGCTGGCACCGCACCAGCAAACAACCGGGAGATGTTTGTCGTTGTCGTCGTTGTTGATAAGCTACGCTGTGCCACACGTTCGAGCCCCTCGCGCCCTCCGCTATGGACAGAGGGCTTCGTGCGGTAAACACACATTTTGTCGTGTCCTGAGAACACGCGTGCCGACGGGGAGCCCCCACCACCGCAGATTAACACGCGATCCAAACACTGCCAACGTGTCCATAATGCACGTCCATAGCCGCGGTTATTTCCACCAAGACGTGGCACCGCGAGATGCTCCAACGTTGGGGGTGGGTTGGGAAATGGTTAAATGCCGCAAGCTGGATTTTATTTCTGTTTGCAACGCGTGTTATTCGCTCGGCGTGACGTTCCGACGTTTCGCCCACGTGCTGGAAAACTACTTTCTTCTTCGGGCACGCAATATTCCTCAAGGAGGTGCGGGCACGTGGAGGAGGAACGTCGGGACAGAGTGCCGAGGAAACGCGCTGGAACAAATCGAAAAGCACGCGGAGAGCTGTGTGGCAACGCCCGCAAACAGCTGCACAGTGTTGTGGTGTCCATAGGGCCCAAAAGAAAACATTCTGGCAATTTCAAAGCCTGCGGTCATTTCGCCAGATTCCCGCCCCTCTTCTATATCTATACACAGACGTTATATTTACAAAGTTGTCTCAAAACCCCCCCGTCACGCACATAAGAGTGGCGTGTCGCGTCTGGTATTCGTGTCACCGCGTGGTGGCATTTAGAGGAGCCGTCGGATTCAGAGTTGAAGTCTTCTCGTTGTTGACGTTGCGTTTGAACTGCACGCTACATCGCATCTCAAATCCACTACCCCCCCCCCTCACTGCCTCTGTCCACCCAGCAATATAAATGGGTTCACCGTAAATAGAT